CTTGTTACTGGTAATACAAATAATAATATATATATGGCATAGAATAATATACGCAATTATATCTATAATATATATAATAACATACATAATATATTATAATATAATATAAATAGCTAAATATATATATAATATATATTCTAGATATTATTATTGTATTTAGATATGGTGTTGCATTTAGGTATTATTAATATATTATTTTTGTATGTGATGTGTTTATATATATATATGTTTATTTTTATAAATTTATTGTTTATAATTATTTACGATTATATAATTATTGGTGGTTTTGAAATGACATTGGCCTGTCTGGCATCCAGGCACAGACATAATGCACGGGTGTAATATGTATTACATATGCTAAGGACAAATAACAAAACAGTTTGGGTTGGAAGGATCTTAAAAATCAACTCATTCCACCCTTCCTAGTAGAAGGGATATCTTGCACTATCCCAGGCTGCTCCAAGCCCTATCCTGCCTGGCCTTGGACACTTCCAGGGATGGGGCAGCCACAGCTTCTCTGGCCAACCTGTGCCAGGGCCTCCCCACGCTCTCAGGGAAGAATTTCTCCCTAATATCTAATCTAATCCTACTCTTTGTCAGTTTAAAAGCCATTCACTGTTGAGCTTTGATGTGCAGTTGGAAGACACCCCTACTTCTTTCTTTCCAGGGGATGGAGAAGTAAAATTTTCCCGAGTAGGTGTGGAGAACACCTCAAAATGTTTAAAAGCTTGTTCCTTTTCCCAGCTTTCTCCAGCTGGTCAGTCCCTTTTGTCACAGGAGAATTCTTCCTCCCTAATCTGCCCTGACTCTGGACCTCGAGTACCAGGGATGTGAATGGAAACTCCTGGTCAGAGCAGTTAATCACATCCTTATTTCATCTCCCATGTTCCCAAGGCCCATTAAAACATAATGGTTTTGTTTACCCAGCCTCCAGTCATTGCTGGGAATACCTCAGCAGGCCAAACAGGAAGGCTGGGCTTTACAGCTCTGACTCCTCATCACGGGAAGTCTCTTTGGTGTGAGCCTGGGTGTGAGGCCAGAGTTGGGCAGCAGGTACCACTGGTGCTTCTGCTGTTGCACAACTGGAAACTCCTGCACCCCAAAGCATGACTCAACTTCTTCTGATGCACTTCCCTGAATGCTCAGGAGGGATGGTGAGACGGATCTTGTGTTTCACAGAAAGGTGTTATAAATGTGAGTGAGGTGCAGGTATTTGATTATTACATAACTGGGGGGCTTTTAGCACCGAGAGCAGCACCCACAGTTGTCTGTGCACTGTAACTTTGTGCTGGCAGTGTGCTTTTTGCTTGTTTGAGAGATTTGGTATTTCACAGTAAGGGAAGATGTATAAAAGAAATACTGCTGGGAAAAAAAAATCTTTATGGGCAGAGATTCTAATTCTTCTGCATCAAAAAGACGTGGAGGTCTTGGTGCCATTAAAGATGAAATGAAGTGAGGAGAGTAAAGTGTTTTTCACCTTGTCTCGATATACTTGCAGACCTTCTGGTCCACTGTGTGTTTCTGATCCGTTCTGTGTCCCTTTCCCCCTGTCAGGATGCTGTTTCCCCTGCCCCTGAGGGTGGCCTGCAGTCTGCTGGGCTGGTTCTCCCTCTACAAGTGGTTCTGCCACCGCTACAGGCACCGGAATTCCGAGTGGAGCTGCAGGCTGGTCACCCTGACCCATGGCATCCTTGCCACCTGCCTCTCTGCTTACATTGGCTTCATTGATGGGCCCTGGCCTCTGAGTCACCCAGGTGAGTGATGGAAGCTGTGGTCCCAAGTCCCTCCATGGGTGAGGGCACTGAGGGGCTCTCCCACCACCACCAGCCCGCTGGAGGAGTGACGGCTGTAGTTGGCGTCTGAGCTGCTCTGTGGTGGGAAGCACCAGAGAAATGGGGAGGCTGGCACTGCATTTTGCTTGTGTGCAGCTGTGGCACTGACAACTGTGGCATTGTGACCTGGGCAGGGGGGGGACTCAGTGCCTTACAGTTCTTTGTGTCCCTTGTGCTCCAGGGTCGCCCAACACAACCCTTCAGGTGCACGGGCTGTGCCTTAGCCTGGGCTACTTCCTCTTCGACCTGTGCTGGTGCGTGTACTTCCAGACGGAGGGTGCCCTGATGCTGGCCCACCACCTGGTGAGCATCGTGGGCATCGCGGCCTCGCT